ACGAAAAATTGATAAAATAAGTGTCCTGGGCTATATAACTATATTTTATCCGAAAAACTTGATATTTTTTTGGAACATGAAAAATTGACAAAATAAGTGTCCTGGGCTATATTTTATCCGAAAAACTTGTAATATTTTGGAACACAAAAAATTGACAAAATAAATGTCGTGGGCTATATTTTATACAAAAAACTTGATATTTTTTGGAACACGAAAAATTGACAAAATAAGTGTCCTAGGCTATATTTCATTCGAAAAACTTGATATTTTTTGGAACACGAAAAATTGACAAAATAAATGTCCTGGGCTATATTTTATACAAAAAATCTTAATATTTTTGTAACACGAAAAATTGACAAAATAAGTGTCCTGGGCTATATTTCATCCGAAAAACTTGATATTTTTTGGAGCACGTAAAATTGACAAAATAAGTGTCTTTAATTATCTTTAATCTAAATAACGCCACTTACTTAGATGCCATCCAGGCTATGCCGGGGCGGGTCGCTAGTATAATATAGTAATAAACGTAGTTTATACGGCGTGTACGAGTATATCGAAACACGCGTAGCACGACAAATTAAACGATGTAGTTATGAGTTCGTTTACCTACGCCCGTGGAATGCCATTTATTGAGCAAACGATCAGAGTCGGATTAAAAGCAAAAACAGGCAACTGGCTATGGACTACGTTGCTTTATCACACAGAGCTTTAGAAAAATAAAAAATAAGCAATGGAAAAAACCTGTTATGTGTGTAAAAAATGTCATATTTATTTATTAATGCTTTATTTGCACACCTAGTACCTAAAATAATTTAAAATTAAACATATTGTACAGTCGACTTCAATTTTTTTTTTATAGGAGAGGGGGCAAACGAGCATGCGGCTCACCTGATGGTAAGTGACTACCGCCGCCCATGAACAACTGCAACACCAGAGGAATCGCAGATGCGTTGCCGGCCTTTTAAAAAGGAGTACGCTCTTTTCTTGAAGGTCCCTAAGTCGTATCGGTCCGGAAAAATCGCTGATGGTAATCGATTCCACAAGGAGGTCGTGCGAGGAAGAAAACATCTTCTAAATCGCACAGTGGTGGACCGCCAATCATCCAGATGGTGTGGATGGTATCGGGAGTTCTGCCGCGATGTGCGTTCGTGAAATTTGGCGGCTGGGATTAATCCGAACAATTCCTCAGAGCACTCCCCATGGTAGATGCGAAAGAAAATGCAAAGGGATGCAACATCTCTTCGCAGTGCCATGAATCGAGCCGATCGGAAAGGGCTCGGTCGTCGACAATTCGAGCCGCTCTGCGTTGGATGCGGTCAAGTGGAAGGAGCTGGCACTGGGGAGCCCCTGCCGAGAGATGGGAACAGTATTCCATGTGAGGCCGAACTTGCGCCTTGTAAAGTAGCAGACGGTGTGCCGGCATGAAATACTGTCCCGCTCTGCTGAGCACGCCAAGCATTTTAGAGGCCAATTTGGCCTTCCCTTCCAAGTGACCACGAAACTGCACGTCACTCGATATGTCGACTCCGAGGATACCGATACTGGCTGAGGCAAGAAGGGGAGTGCCTTGAAACTGAGGAGATACGACAAAGGGGTTCTTTTTAGCGGTAAACGCGCAAACTTGTGTCTTCTGAGGATTAAATTGGACTAGATTTAGTCGCCCCCAATCCGAGACTTTGTTCAGCAAAGACTCGACTTCAGACACAAGTTTGTTCCGGTACTCAGCGACGTTTTCCCGAGAAATATTGGCACGGCCGGTGTATAGAGCATCACCAGTGCTGTCATCCGCATAGCAATGAATGTTACCAGTTAGCAACATATCATTGATACGCAGAAGAAACAGCGTTGGTGATAGCACACAGCCTTGTGGAACACCAGCGTTAATAGGCTTGTAGTCAGAGCATGCACCGTCTACAACGACCTTGATGCTCCGATCTGCAAGGAAGCTGGTGATCCAATTGCACAATTTCTCGGGAAGCCCATAGGAAGGGAGCTTCGAAAGAATCGCTTTGTGCCAAACCCGATCGAAGGCCTTCGCAATGTCCAGACTAACGGCCAACGCCTCCCCCTTGGACTCTACTGCCTCCTCAATAATAACTCAAAAACTATTGGTCTGACCTTGATCAAATTTACATGGGACTACATATGAAGCACCAGCTTTCAAATAAAGAAAGAATCATCGAAATGGGTTCAGCCAGTAAAAAGTTATGAGATAACACACATAAAAAAAACATACAGTCGAATTGAGTACCGGCTCCTTTTTGAAGTCGGTAGAAAAGGCGGACCTAATGCAACAGGGCACGCTCTACCAGTCTACCTAGAGGCTAAGCGGAGAAGATATTGTGGGTGCAAAGTGCAAACAGCTACGTTAAAAATATTAATGTCTACACTAGCTGGCCCGGCAAACGTTGTTTTGCCATATAGGTACATTATTTCTGGGAAATATTTTTTAGTTTTAAAATTTGCGATAAAAAAACAGGGGTTGATCGTAGAAGGTGAACATTTGAAGTTTTATGTAAAAATACTCAACAGTTAATTTTGGAGATTCATGACTCAATGGAACGTTATGCTGACCACTAAGCTACATCTTTGGTCAAATAATAATTAAAAATTTTGTACAGCCGACTTCAATATAAGTTATTAAGAATAACTCAAAAACGATTGGTCTGACCTTGATTAAATTCATATGGGACCACACGAGAAGTGCCAGCTTTCAAATAAAAAAAGAATCATCGAAATCGGTTCACCCAATAAAAAGTTATGAAGTAACACACATAAAAAAATACGGTCGAATTGACTACCGTCTCCATTTTGGAAGTCGGCAGAAAAGATCTCCTTCATTCATTTTTATTTTATACAGTAGTCAAATTATTTTATTTATTTATCATTTTAATCTACGTAAAACATCGATAACATCGAACCCAATTTGTACCCAGTGATGACATATTCACGAAAAATTTACGCAACACCGAGTAAATACGCCTAACACTCGTATATCGACCGCAAAGAAGATCATTATCGTGTTAGCCCTGTACAGTATTGGTACAATGTGATGAAATAGGCGATAATCGATTTTATCGCAATACAGTAAGGTGCACGTTTGTTTGAGCTTGACCGTTCCAAAGTGCATTAGCGCCCTAAAATTCCGTTACCAACCTGTTCGATGATAACACTATCTCATATCAAGCTGACAAACAGGTGAATGACTCAAGTATTTGTATGTGGAGGCCATTAGAGCCCGGCGAGTGTAAACACTACTATCAAAATTAAAATTACTTTATAATGGTGTACATTTCGATAAGTTATAGGGTTATAGCCTATTTTTTTTTCAATTTTGTTTGTTACCCTTACATTAGTTTCACTACATTTTGTCCACTTTAAAACTGCACGCGCCTTTTTTTTTTTAAAAAAGGAGAGGGGGCAAACGAGCACACATTCAGATGTCCTGGATACATTTTTTGCAGGTTTTCTTCACGATGCTTTTTTCCGCCACCGTAAATATGGTAAATCGGAACATAAAATTGCAGCTAGAAATTGTCATCTCCTAAAACTACCACGGTTTTAATATTATATCCACTTGATTTCTGATGCCCAAGTACAAATATAATATCTTTTATTTTCCCATTGTTACCCCATAGTGAATATTCATTCGTCGGTGTTTCTTTAATTTCGGAAAAACATTGAGTTATAATGTACTACGTAGTACATTATAACTTAATGCGTAAAAAGGAATAACTTACAAATAACTCCTTTGATTATTTCAGGGTCGCTATCGTAGTTTAATATATAAAATAAGGATTGGTTTATATCACACTGTGCCTTAAATCTAAGACAACAGCAAAGAACCCGATACAGTTTCATAAGTCTTATTTTACTTCTGTCATACTAAATCACAAGACAGGAACAATGACAACAAAACCAGACCCTAAAGCCAATAACTTGTTTAAAAACATACAAGAAAGCTTACAATTTTTTGTCGTTGTTTTTGTCGTCATTCTCTGTCGAAAATAGTGTGTTACAGCCAAGGGTGGATTGCGGTAAAGGTATGAGGTTACGCTACCGGTATAAAATATTGATATCGCTATATTTTAAAGGTAGATGAAAGCGGTTGTAATTCACCGATACGTCACCGATATAAAATAACGATAACGCTATTTTTAGGGATATCGTTATACCTTTACCGAAATTATATTGGTTACCAAAAATATATGTTTGTGTATCCAACAGTATTTGTTGTTTTGATAATGATACTTAAGGAAATCTAAGAAACTAATTGAAAACTAAGGTTATTTTGAACCACAAGAAGAAAACCTGTAATTTCATGATTAGGTAGTGAAAAATATAACGCTACAGTTACTTTTCGGTACCGAAAAATTAGTGTATCGTTTTTTAAAGATATCGCAATAAAAAGATATGACGTCATACCTTTAACCGTTATAACCCATAATTTTTCGGTCATGCAAGCCCTGATTACAGCATCATGACTTCTAGAATTGACTACTGTAAATTAGATCGAAATTTGAAGTATATTATATAGATATGTTAGATTTATTGAAAGATTTAAAATGATTTTTTTTGATGTATCAATCTTTAAATAAGCTTCTAATTGTACCTCATAAGTTTGTAAAGAATTCAACGAAAAAAAACAAGAAATACTGTTACTAAATACTTTCGATGAAAATTATTGCTCCGGCTTAAATCAAATCCATGACCCGCGGTCGCGGACTATACTTACATAATATATGTTTTATATTCCAATAAAGGAGTCTCCGAGGCTAAAAACTACACCTACGAGACAAAAATCACAACAAAGTGTGGGAACTGTTTCACTTCTACACCATCGTCGCTTCCAACTATGGAAAGATTTCGCCATAAAAGCGACAATGAAATATATTTATTACCAACAGTTAGATGTTGTCTAAAGTAGGCTAATATTACTATAATAAAAATGTGCTGAAATAGGTAAATGTTGTCACAGTAAAATATAGTTCAACACTCACCTCGCGCCCACGATAACTTGGTCCCGTGCCACGTCGAATAACAGTTGCGAAAAAGATCTGGCATCCTTATCTTCAAAGATATCGCTGTCCGTCGCCAGCAGGTCTGCGAAATCGTAAACATTTTATCAATGAATATAAATACAAATATTTTTCGATATGGATCAGTTGCATTAAATATTGAAATGAGATTCTCCGTATAAGTCGAGTAATGCACTTCATATTTCGTGAGAGCACTTACGGAATATTTTTATTGCAGATCGTTGATTGTTGTGCGATAAGAATCAAAATCGAAAGCTTATTTTTAAATTAAATATTAGAAAATAATTTCTATATAAAGTAAACATTAATGCTGGGAATACTGAATGCTACTGCCAAGTAGCAGTGAGGAATTATTATTACAAAACAGGCATCAAAATTGTGAATTTAGTAGAATTTGAAAATCGGAAGAATTAATATTTCAAGGTAAAGAAATTTAATTAAGGGTTTTCGTTAAATACCTTTTCATATAGATGGTACTGAGGTGCTTCTTCTGCCAGACAACGCTGCTTGGAAATAATTAATTTTACTTCGAGTATTCAATTTATTAAAATAGTAGGATTTCCTATGATTTCTAAGCTGGATTGACTGGCAGAGAATGCCATAAAGTATGAAATCCGTTACAATGGAGGATAACAATAGAGAATACAGAAAAACAGAAAAACTTAAAACAAGTCTACAATAGTGTTTTATATCGCGAGGGCTGATCACTTTGTTGTACACGAATAAGCAATTTTATAGCTTTCTACCAGCGTTAACGATTATAGAAAGTTAGTCTTTTGGCTATCCCTAGGCTATCAACACATAATGTTAAAATGACACTATCGGAAAACCTTCGCGCCAATTGTACTTTATTGATCCACGTACAAATTTGCTTCATAGTGCTTACTTTAGGTGAATCAGTCTTGATAATTGGGCGAAACTAGAATAATCATGAAATTCTACTATTAAATATTGTCAAATACGGCCGTGAAGCACCAGCATCAATTGACTACCTTAATAGTGCACGTCTCACAAAAGGATTCCAGCCGCATAGTCTCTATGTCGATCACAATTCACCTGTTATAGCATTTTTAAAGTGTGGACACTGCCAGAACTATAATAATACTTTGCGTATCATACGTACATTTGACATGAGCGTGAAGGGACGGTGAAAAAATATTCACTATCCCATATCGTCATGTGGGTGTCGTAAGAGGCGGCAGAGGAAAACAAGCCAGAGTAGATGGGCAACAAAATCGTTGCAACCCGTCTGCCTAACGTGGCAACGATAGCAAACATCCACCAACCTCTATGAGGCAGTCTATGGGGGAGGCCTATGTTCAGCAGTGGACTATTGATAAGCTTTAATGATGATGGTTATGATGACATAATATAACATAATATTTAGTACAAGTACTTAGAATACTAGAAGTAATTTTCTACTACTTAAAAGTAATTTTCAATTTGCCGCCAAATCGTAAACAAATGACAAATTATTAAATACATAGGTACACAATAATATTGGCAAAGAGTTCCATTTTCAAAATTTGAACTTCATTTTTATTATATCGTTTACAAGTGGCCAGTTCTAAAAACTTTCAGTGTCACCCTTGTAGAAATCGCTGCGTTAGAAACCTTATGATTTAAATAAATTTAACCAGTTGAGTAAATCAGCTTAACTTCTATGTCAAGCAAATTTACTCACAACACCAACGGTGTCGGCAATACAATTAAGCCAGTTTTTCTATGTTTTTCAAAACACAAGTGAATGTAAGAAAAACTCAAATGCAAACACATTACCACTGATGTATTATAAACAGCGGCCGGAGAACGAGTGTATGTATTTAACGAACGAGCGTCTTTATGATAGTTAATCATCATTACCCAAACGCTGATGCGGCCTCAATAGGAAATCGTATGAAGTGACCAGCGTCTGTGACACCAATCTAAACACTTTAACGTGGCCTACATTAAAAGAGAAGCGGGTACATTGATTCGCATTTTAATTTCCTTTAAACACATGGTGTAGAACGTTGACGCCAGATGAATATTAAACATTTAGAAGATATTGATATGTAACATGTCTGTCGGACGGACTATTATACTATTTGCAAACTAAACGTTCATAATAATAATAAATACTGGTAGACGAAGTGTGGGGCGGCCACCCACTAGACAGAGTGACAACCTGCTAAGACATGCAGGAAGTCGATGGGTGCAGGTGGCTCCGGACCGTGCTTTGTGGCGTTCCTTGGGTAAGGGCTATGTTCAGCAGTAGGCTTGTGAAGGTTGTAATGATGACGATGATGATTATGATGATGAATAATAAATACATTTAAAGACATGGTACTTGATATAGCCACGTACAATTGGATCGGCTCTACCATGGTAGTCGCTTAATGTTGTTTCTTCAGTAGGTAGTGCAGGCTTCAAACTTATAGTTCCACATACCTCTATTATATTTCTCAGAGAATCCCCTAAAAAACTGTCTAAAGAGAAAATAAGATTACAAAGAGCAATGCGTTTTTAATTAGTGTGATGGTGACCAAATACCAATTATTGCTCGCGCGACGCTTTCGCACTCTTACCCTGCAACAGTGAAACTATATCAAGCAAAGCAAGCAAACGCGGTGATAGTTAGTGGCACGTGTACCATAGAGTATAGTTATATACAAATTGCGTACACCATCATGCGTGTATCAAGCGTGAACCAGTCAATCAGCTACCAAAATGATAATCTTGTCGCGAACCTTCTACGATTAACTGTCGAAGCTTTCGGGGCTCAAAAATCCCAAAAATGGTGGCCACGTTTGTCTCCAAAACCGGCCATGTCACGACTATTCCTCTTGAGGGACAAAGAACGGTTAATGCAGAATGGTATGCTAGTATTTGTTTGCCACAGGTCGTTTCTGAACTCCGTAAAGAGAACTGCAACCGCCGCATCATCCTCCATCACGACAATGCGAGTTCTCACACCGCACACAGAAAAAAAGAGTTTTTAGAGCAAGAAAACATAGAATTATTAGACCATCCGCCGTACAGCCCCGACCTAAGCCCTAATGATTTCTATACTTTCCCTAAAATAAAGAATAAATTGCGTGGACAGAGATTTTCATCACCTGAAGAAGCTGTGGCCGCCTACAAAACGGCCATTTTGGAGACCCCAACTTCCGAATGGAATGGTTGCTTCAATGATTGGTTCCATCGTATGGAAAAATGTGTCAAATTTCGCGGAGAATACTTCGAAAAGCAATAAATACATTTTTAAATAGTAATGTTGTGTCACTTCCTTGATTCCCGAAATTTTCAGTGCCGCCCGTACCATCACGCGAACTGTGTGTTCGTTTGTCACACCAACTTGTACATAAAAAGCAGTAGGATATAAGCGTTATACGATATATGGAAATATTGGAAAGATAGAATCATTCAAATTTCTTATGCTTATAAATTTGTATCAAATAAAACTGAGGTGAATAATGTCCATTAGTAGGGGACAATAAGTACCCACAGTAGCACACTTCAGAACATAATCCAATACCTCAGAACGTAGATTACCAATCATACCGTGAGATCTAATCGCTTTAAATGAGCTTCAGTTTTAAAAAGTACTAAAGGAAACTTTCTCCCGAACGCGTCTCTTACAAACGAAGTTTTGCTTGGAAATAGAGTGAATGGGGTCTACACGCTATTATGAGGAGTCAGAATGTGTCAACTAAGGCACGTATGGCAATTCATAATGCTGTGTTAGTACCCACTTTAATGTATGGTAGTGAAAGTTAGGTCTGGCTGAAGAAGCATGAGAGTAGAATAAATGCTGTAGAAATGCGTTCCTTAAGGAGTATGCTAGGGCTGAATCTGAATGACAGGGTGAGAAATAGTGTAATAAGAGAAAAGTGTGGTTTGCAAGATGACGTTGTGACAAGGATTAAGAAAGGAATGCTTCGGTGGTTTGGTCACGTAGAAAGAATGAACGAGGAAAGAGTGACAAAGCAAATTTATGTTGCAGAAGTGAACGGCAGGGTCGGGAAGGGACGCCCTAGACGAAGGTTTATCGACCAAATCGGCGATACATTAAAAATGAGCCAGATTAGGAGTACCCTTAACCGACGAGCGTGTATGCGTAGATATATGGATGTAAAAGAGGCGAGAGGTGTGTCAGGATCGCGCCAAATGGAAGTCCGTAGTCTCTGCCTACCCCTCTGGGTGACAGGCGTGAGTGTTTATGTATGTAATTATGTATATGTTATTTATTCATGCGCCTATCAAAAGTCTATAGCTGAACATAGGCCTACCCAATAGATTACATTCCCCCTTTGAGGTAATCTATGATTTGCCATAGACTGCCATGCTTGCTTGGTTAACCACCGCAGTCTTTTATTACTTTGAGCTGTTATCAGGAACAATAAAACATAGGAGAGAATAGAAGAACAATAAAACTCTATCGCCTTTTACGACACCCGCGCGATGATATTATGAAGTAGAGGATTCTCTTACGGCGCCACTACACTAGGCTTGGGCAAAAAATATCGATATTTTTTAATAAAAATATCATTGTATATCATCGATATTTTAAATCGCGATATATCGATATTTATTTTAGAGTTCACCTTCGTTATTTTAGAATATCAATTTGGATATATGTATTTTAAAATGTTGTATTAAGACAAAACATGTAACAAAAAGGAGGTACAAAAGTAGGTTGTCGTTTTTTTTTCGATATATGATATATCGATATTCATAACGCCATATATATCAATACTGTTTAAAATATCGATTTGATATATATCGATATATTTTTTCCCTTGCCCATCCCTATACTACACGGTACTGATTGACGATACATATCGATGTATCAAAAACACTCTATGTAAAGTATCGATACGTCGAATCAAACCGATGTTGTTTTGATTCGTCAACATCGAGTAAACAACGATGTTTTATACTCGATGCATCGAAGACGCAAACCTGCTAGGACACCATTGCTTTCGAATAAGCGCTACTTTTCGAGTAGTCATCGAACCGAAAAGACAAGTCCGAACGAATTTTATCCTGAGAGGATTTACTCGCTCTCACATCACGGAAAACAAATAACGAGTGCATGTATTGTTTTCATCAAAATTATTAAGTAGGAATCCATTTTGAAACTTGCTCTGTTGTAAAAAACACATCGATATATGGAAAACATCGATGTATTTTTTTTTGATATATCGATGTTTTTTTCAAGGTCCATAACTTTTACACGGCTAGTCTAGTAGACTGTCAAACACGCAGCAATTACAACAAATCGTGTCCATTACTGTAACGGAATGATAAGTTAAAAAGAGAGATGCACCTATAATATAAAATAACTAAAACACATATTTCATTGGCTTTACATTATACAGCGGGTACACATTTTACGACATAATATTACGTCTTATGTCATTTCTATTGCAAATTGAAAATGTAATTACACTGCCACATCAACATTTTGCATTGCTAGTCGCTACTTACGGAAAATCACCATACCAACTATCAAATAAATATTTCCAGCGCAAATTTATATTCAAGAATCATTATTATAATACATATACATGTCTAAAGTACGACGTCTATTTATATAACTTGTTACAGCGAGTGATCGGTTTTAAACGCTAATCTCTGCGAATCAACGCATAATATATGCCAATCATCATAGACTGCTTTCCTTAAGAAGCCGTTTCACGTTTATAAAACATCAAAAGCCAGATATCAAAATTTATTCTAAAAAGTTTTATCCGTCAAGAATTATTTCATAGCAAAATAACCAAGGCACTAATAAAATTACATCAAAATGACGAAAAAGATTTAGGTAATCATTTAAAGCTGTCAAGTTATATTTATTGTAGTTCCAAATACTTTTCGTAATATAAATAAACAACATAATACGTACATACTTACGATGCATTAATAACGTAATACATAAATGTATCTCCGAATGAATTGGATACTAAATTTCATTATTAATGTACATACTGCATAAAATAATCGGTCAGTTAGCCGTGAAATTAGTATATACGATTGTAATTATTTTAATAAATCGTAAACGTAAATTCTACGTGGTAGAGCCATGCTGCAGCTATATTATGGTTGTAGCACAAATGGGTCGGCTCGAACGGGGAAGGACTACGCTCTCACAGAAAACCAGCGTAAAATAGCAGCTTAACGCTGCTGTGTTTCGTATGGTGAGTGTAGAGAACCGGAGACCCTAAGAGGCATTCCATCTTAGTCCTCACGGGTGACAACGCATCTGCATCTTGAGTCTTTATTGAGGATAGATGTAGATGTCTATGGGTGTCACAGTAACCACTTACCATCAGGTGGACTGTGTGCTCGTTTGTCACCGATCCTATAAAAAAAATTAAAAATATATGAATTAAGGGATAATTGTGGTAGCTCAAGGCCTAAGCGCTGGATGTAAATTTCACAGTACGCGAGCCGTACAAAGCCGTATCCCGATCTGCGCTGCCACTTTTAGTTTTGCAATTGTTAAGCCGCGTATCCACCAAAAATGTTGACAACAGTTATGTTTCCAACTGTTTCCAACAAGCGTCTCCACCGAGGGAACAAATGTTGGCAACAAGCGTATTCCTTTTATGTTGCCGCCTAAAATGGAAACAAGTTTTGTTGGCAACTGTTGTGTTGGCAACAAAACTTTGGTGGAGACGCGGCTTTAATTGCAATTTTAAGTGCTGATTTAACATGTCCTCGACAGTGAATAAAACATCGCGACCCACATATTTATAAATTAAAAAAATATTTCGAAGACGTGAAGTTCGCAAAAACGCATTTAAGGCACTTCTTTGTCCTAAACCCTCTCAAAAATGTGGAGAAGCCTGTGCTCAGGAGTGCGACGTACATAGGCTGTATCTATACTTTTATAGAAATAATATGTTTATTTGACTTCAAGAAACTATGACGTCATTTATAGCCCATATGAATTTTATTGAGATTAGATTTAGATTACCTAGATTTAGTTAGATATTTACAAGAACTGAACACATAAAATACATCTTAATCACGATCTCTTCCTGTGTTTTCTGTGGTTATCACCATAAAATTACTATATAGAAAGTTTCGTTTAGACGCCACATAAAAATCTTTTTAATTGACACGTGTCAACTTCTCTATTATAGAACAAATGAATGTTATGACCTATCAGCAAAGAGTATAATAAGTATATACAGGAAAAGAGAGCCCTCTGACGATATTTTATTGCAGACCAAATTGAACTACTAGCGTCTCCTACAAATTGAATCCGAATTAATTCGCTATATATAGATAGCTATATTATGTACATCATATTAATGTAACTATTATGTTCTTTAATTCGCATACTTACTGAAACAATTTTTACTTTTTTTTGTAAAATAATTTATACTTTTAATATTAAAAGTAGGTAAATAGTTTCAATAAGTACACTTGTATTTGTGAGATAATAATATATATTATATAAAAAGGGTATTTGCGATGTTACAGGAATGACAATTTAATATGACAATTATTTCATTTTTTATTTTTATTTTTTATTATAAAATGCTGGTTGCCAGTATCATAATTGTCATATTTATCGATTGATTCGATAATTATTACGTGTTTTTATGTTAAAATTATAATTTTTTATCAATAAAATCACCAATAATTTTTTGGTGCACTTATTTTTATTTTGTAAGTAAATTTCATTTTATTTTTCCAAAGTAGCGACATCTGTGAAGCCATAAGACCAACTATAAACAAATTATTTTTGGAAACAAGTTATGGATGGCGCCACCATCCATTAAATTTTTGTGGTTCAAGGCAACTGTCCTACGCCTGCCTATCAGTTATTTTTGGCGAACGGCCTCGGACCGCAATTGACACGACGAAAATGGTATGACGAAAGTAGTTCAATAACAATTATTGTCAATTTGAAGTAGTGTATAATAGTGTTTAAATGAACGCGTAACTGCACAACCGTGCGGTGAAGGGGTCAGCACTTTTTTAAAGAATAAAGGTGACAAGCCAGCACACAGTCCACCTGATGGTAAGTGAATGCTCTTACACATCGACATGAAACTATTTTATCAGTTTGTCAAGACATTTCTATCCTATACTCAATTTTTAAAACTAACAAGTTATAACTTGATACTTGAGGCTATAGATTTGCAAAATAATAACAGATAGTTTGCCCCTAATGTACAACTACGGCTCGATTTTGTAAATAACTATTTTATCAGCTTGTCAAGACTTTTTTGTCGTATATTATTCAATTTTTAATACTAACAAATAACTACTAGGTACTTTATTTGCTAATTAATAACACATAACACAATTCTTTTCTTCAAAAGATTTCAAATTCTTCAAAGATATGAGATTAATAGAAAAAAGTGATGAGTATAAACTCGTTAACTTTTTTCTTGGTTTTCATCGGCAAATTGTCAAAACAGAAAATAAAAGTAAGGCACGGTTACTCACGTTGGAAACAATACACGACGTATACATAATATTCCATTTCCCAAAACAGAGCGAGATGTTTTGTAACACCAGTCTGTCATAAATCAGGTAATGTAATGGGCATGAACCTTTATAATTATGAACAGTAAAGTGAGAAAAATATGCGTTTACCTTGGCGATTTATTATCCTGAAGTCATCTTCGGGTAATTCGCCCTTACTGAGAGTGCTGAGCAGAATCAGAGCGGCAACTTTGTAAAACCTCAACATCTTGGCGGTTTTTAATACTGCGGTATCTGCAAAGAAGAAAAGATACTTTATCAGGTGTGCACTTTAAAGACATTTTCTACGTGATAGAGCCACGGTAAAGCTGTTATATGGCTCAACACAAATGGGTCGGCTCGAACAAAGATGATATATATCCCCATATCTTACCGTAGGTGTCGTAAGAGGCAACAAAAGTAAATTAAACAGGAAAAATACTCCAATAATAATATAAAAAACGGCGGCGAACACACCTGTCAATTTTGGCAATTATGGCAAAGTTAAAAATTTTGTTACATTGTAGTGAATGAAAAAAAAGCCGGCCAAGTGCGAGTCGGACTCGCGCATAAAGGGTTCCGTACCATCGTAAAACACGTTTCTAGTAAGGGGAGTCCCCTTTAATTTATAATTTATTTTTATTTTTATTATTTTTTGTTATAGCGGCAACAGAAGTACACATTCTGGGAACATTTCAACTGTCTACCCATTACGGATCATGAGATACAGCCCGCTAACAGATAGATGGACGGACCGGACGGACGGATGAACAGACAGCAGAGTTATTACTAAATAGGGTCGCGCTGGTTACCCTTTCGATACGGAAACCTAAAAATGAAATGGCAGTATATTGCTCCAATGATGATGACTACAAACTATCATCAATAGAGACTATATATTATGAAATTATGTCTAAGAGTCCATCTCGGTGGTTAACACCCTCTCATCTATGTCTGGCGCTAATTAGCAGTCTGTGCACTGCTGTTTTCCGGTCTATATATGTCGAATATCCGGTAAAAAACCTAATTGAAATCTATCCAGTAGTTTTTTCGTGATGTGAGCACAATTGAAAACCTTATCATTTTATTTATATAGAAAAGGGTCAAAATTTTTTGTTGATTAAGGTACACACCTTTGCTTTGCTAATTTTGCATTCTTAATTTTATTTAATTTATTTTTATTCATTCATTGCAGCCATAAGTCAGAATATCTCTATACACATGAACATATCACATTATATTTTGTTTCGTTTAGTGTGGACAATCTAGAGTCAGTATTGTGACGGCTCTGTGGCGCAGTGACTTAGCAATGAGTTGCAGAGTTAAGGGCCGCGAGTTCGAAACCCGCACGGAACAAGTATTTGTATGGCCTTCTAATAATTGTTCCGGGTATTGATGTTTGTCCTTGTGAAATTTATGTATGTAAACTGCCCGTACGATACCAGAAAAAATCCTAGTGGGGAGGTATAATTTAAAAAAAAATGTAACACTGTGTGAGGCATTCCACTTTAGTCCCCAGATGTGACAACGCCTCTGTTGCCTTCTTTATTTGAAGTTGGCTAAAGGTGTCCATTGCATGCTATACTACTAACTATCAGATGGACTGTGAGTTTGTCACTTCTATTTTATAAAAAAAAATGTCTTCGTTCAAATACACATACATACACATTAGTTGCATGTTCGTAAGCGAGTTAATATATCTCTGTTTTGCAATTTAATTAATGTTTATCCTACATCCTTGACACGCCTTAATAGTTTATCCATCCTGACCTTTGCAGCCTTAACACAGACCAAAGATAAACTGCGATCCCACACGCGCAGAATTTAAAAAAGGCAAATATTATCAACATAACAACGTAATGATTTAACGACACGAATTATTACGAGTACGATGTTTTATGTGCTGCTTTGTACTTACGCACAAATTACCACTTGCAATTTTTTTTCTTCAATCCCAACAACTGCCAGTTTCAACTTGTGTGATGATAACAGCTTTGTTTTTACTAAACGAGCATCAGACCAGTATTATTTTTCCCATTCATTATCTGTTCATACCTTGATATTGATTCATCATCATCATCATTACAGTATATCACAAGTCTGAACCAGTGATTTTTACTGGTAACGAGGCATTCCATCTTGTGTTGTCCCGGAGGACCATATAAATGTAGAATATGGATGAATGAAGATGGAATGCCTTGTTATCAGTAAAAATTTCCGGTTTTCTACACTCACTATACGAAACACGGCAACGTCATGCTGCTATTTTACGAAGGTATTCTGTGATAGCGTGTCCTACTCAGGCCTTTCCCGACCCAAATGAACGTAACTAAACTGCATCTTGATTTTGATCTTTATACATATAAATTTTAATGTAGTCTGATCTTAATCAATTCTTTCTTCAGTAACGTGGTGTTTTACAAATTATTAATTAAATTGCACATATCTAGAACTAGAACTTCCTGTAATATTATTTATTCTTTGCTAGAACCCATACTTTTAGGCCATGCAAATAATGTTCCGTTCCGTTCTGTTAATGTAATGTTCCAAAGGATGTTATTTAATTTCCTAATTTCAATAGAGAGGGAGGCTGGGTACTACCACCTGCTTGGAATCCTATAATTCATAAAATTAAAACTAAACCCAAGCATACCACTGCAAGACTTCAAGACACAGTTAGTTCATTCTGCGTAGATCGGACCAAAATTAATAATTAAAAAGCTGAAGGTACTCCGGGTTAACTCTGACATCGGGACGTCAGTCACCTCAGTCCCCCGTGACCATGGTTGCTGGAAAGCAACCGAAACGTCGGGAATATAAAATAAGTTAATTAAACGCGATAAAATCCGTAAAAAAGTAGTTTTATTCAATGTGTAGTGTTCGCGTAAATATAAGAAATCATCTTGGAAACTTTATTATTTAATTGATAAATATTCCCTGTGTACAGCAAAATAACATGATTCAATTACATTTTGTGCTACCTTTCAATTAAATCAAATTAAACAGTCCCCTGGCAACAGTCCCCTGTCCTATTGAGGGAATTGTTTCCGCCTCCAGGGGACTGCCTTAATATTATCTTTGTCATTGCTTCAGGTTCACGTGTATTTTAAGTATAGCGTCAAGGAAGAAATAACTCTAAGGAGGATATTTTACACAGAAAATGAGAAACCGAGCGAAGGAGTTATGAACGTATTAAAAACGACCCGTAGAAAAGGGAAGAACGTAGGGAGTAAGAAGAAAATGGAACTAGGAAACTTGTTAAAAATATGACTCCATCAGAATACCGGGAAGCAAAGAAGAAGTAAAGAGAGCGTTGCACCAAGTATCGCAATAAGAAAGACGTATTACAAACACGTGTATGATAGAAAATACTCTAGATTCTGTTGTATCTAATTCATCTCAAATGTCAACACCTGAAGTTGCTGAAATTATTTGAAAAAGATAAATGCTAAGATATAAAATAAAGAAGAAAAAAGATGAAGAAATTAGAGTCCTTAAAAATTAAAGTATTTTTGGTGATTTTGTGATTTTAAGTGATTGTTGGCAAACATAAGTTAAAAAGTATTGCAGTAATACTTTTCAACTTATGTTTGCCAACAATCTTTGCTGAAACATATTTTTGTTAAAAGCCTTTTTTCTTTGAGTATCTGCCATTTTCTGCAACTTAGTGTTCGGTATATTTTTAGACTATGAATTTGCTTTCCTACATGCTTGATTTGTTACTCGACTTATACGAGAAATTCCAACAACAGAAGAGCAGTTTCAAACTGAGTTATCAAGCCTTTTGTAGACTGCAACCTTTTTAGATTATCATACCCAAACTTGATAAACGCGATAACTCGTTTGTGCATTAACCACACGAATATACATTTGAAATTATTAGCTTCAGAAAAGTAATTTATGAGTATAAGCCAAAACTAATTGTAGAAGATGTGTTCACTGATTCGGAATCTGATAATGAAGCTGGACCTAGTTCTGCTAAAGTAAAAGGATTAAACACATATTACATCCTCGACAAGTTGCTTGCCAGAAAGATGGAATGTTTCACACGTATGAGCATTGTTGACAAGATTGAGATTAATATAGTAGAAGCTTTAAGAATGTAATAATCTTAAAGCTCTGTGGTAATTAAGACCATACATGCAGATTTGAACAAGACAATGTGGCAGATGTTACAATGGACCAGGTGATACAGAAACTACCTATTCCAAATATTTTATTTATTTTATTTTTTTATTTTTTTTAAATATAGTTTTAAAAAGGCAATAGAATTTTCTACAAATTTTATTCACGTGCAAATGTTTTTGAAAAACAGTAAGACCAAATTCTTAATACTATTTTTCTTTACCAACTTGTGCCATATTTAAGTTATAAATAATTATCTTTAATTATATGAGACTAATTGTAAAGTGTAAGATTTATAGTATTTAAACATTGTTTCAATGTACGTGATTTTAATTGAATACTTTAATTAATTACTTATTAAGATTTCAGAGTTAGAATTTGAATATGAGTAGAATGTTATAAAAAGACGAGAAGGACTAAAGAGTAGATTTTTTGTTTCTTTATTGTTTACATACTTAATTGCTAAGCTTCAAATTTTATAGAAAATAAGAAGATTTAGTTTTGGAATTAAAATGTTATTTTTCATTGAAATACACAGTCCCCTGACAGAAGCAACAGTCCCCTGTATCTATTTTTTTAGAAAATCCTCAATATTTTCTAAAGTAATGGAAAAATTTTTGGTTCATCTGCCGTTTATTATTAAATTGGTGGAACTGTTCCCAGAATAAGACTTTTTAAATATATAAGCAAAAAAGTTGCCTAGACAACTCTCTTAGAACGAGTTGCCCAGTTTACAGAGAAATGCCCACATCTATGTTAGTAATAAAATAAAATAATATAAAAGATAGAGTAATGATTATTTATTGATTTAGCGTTGATCGGAGAAAAATAAATAATTATAAGCAAACGGTTGCCCGGCTGATAGTGAGTCTTTTTTACTTCCTTGAGTTGTTGCATAGAATTATAAAAATGTAAAATTAAACACTATAACATTAATTAAAAAAAAACTTATAGATAATATGAGCGTCTAGCTGAATTACTGCGCGTTACTTTGAGTAACGACCCACGGCCCAGTAATACGTATGAGTATAAAGTAGGGTTTTGACCCTAGTGCCCTAGGAGGGTAATGTTTTTCGAGTGTACGTATGTATGTCTGTCTTTCTT